ATATCAAAACATTATGATCTAAACGTCATCACGCTTTTGCATATATGACGAATTAGAAAATGCCCACATGTCTGAAGGTTTCTGTGCCCTTACTTCTTACAACATTTTGGTCCAGTTTATCGATTTTATAACTCAACTTCTCATTCCCTTTCAATGCTAACTCATTTTTAGAAAGAAAGTACATTCTGAATGTCTCTGTTCCCTGACTCACTTGTTCAATGCCACTCCTGTTATCCTCTTGAGTACTTTTCAAAAAATCTAACATGAACAATGATCCCTTCTCCAGCTGATCAGCGTTCTTTATGGACTGGATATTACGAGTGTGCATCTGTTCTCCTAGATCGCTTGAATAAACAAAACTCTTCTCACATTCTTTGCACTGGATGTGATTTTTAGACCACCAGACTGATTGAAGCATTTCACGCATTGTTTGCACTGAAATGGCTTCAATCCTGTATGGGTAAGTGTGTGATATTTTAAACCACCAGACTGAGTGAAGCATTTCTTGCATTGTTTGCACTGAAATGGCTTCAATCCTGTATGTGTAAGCATGTGAGTTTTTAGATTACCAGACTGAGTGAAGCATTTCTTGCATTGTTTGCACTGAAAAGGCTTTAATCCTGTATGTGTACGCATGTGCTTCTTCAGATTCCCCGACAGAGTAAAACACTTCTGGCATTGTTTGCATTGAAATGGCTTCAATCCCGTATGTGTAAGCATATGCTGTTTTAGATTACAAGACTGATTGAAGCATCTGTCACATTGTTTGCACTGAAATGGCTTTACCCCTGTATGTACACGCATGTGCACTTTTAGATAACTTGAACTAGTGAAACACTCTCACATTGTTTGCACTGAAATGGCTTCAATCTGTATGTGTAAGCATGTGATTTTCAGACCACCAGACTGAGTGAAGCATTTTTCGCATTGTTTACACTTAAATGGCTTCAATCCTGTATGTGTAAGCATGTGATTTTTCAGACCACCAGACTGAATAAAGCATTTGTCACATTGTTTGCACTGAAATGGTGTCCCCCCTGAATGTGCAAGCATATGCTGTTTTAGATAGCTAGAGCGAGTGAAACACTTTTCGCATTTTTTGCACTGAAATGGGTTCACCTCTGTATGTACAAGCATGTGCTCTTTCAGATACCATAATCTAGTATAACGCTTCTCACATTGTTTGCACTGAAATGGCTTAAATCCTGTATGTGTAAGCATGTGCGTTTTTAGACTACCAGAGTGAGTGAAGCATTTCTTGCATTGTTTGCACTGGAATGGCTTCAATCCTGTATGTGTACGCATGTGCTCCTTCAGATGCCCCGACTGAGTAAAACACTTCTCGCATTGTTTGCACTTATATGGCTTCAAGCCTGTATGTGTACGCATGTGACGTTTTAGATTACAACACTGAGTAAAGCATTTCTCACATTGCTCGCACTTGAATGGTTTCAGTCCTGTATGTGTAAGCGTGTGATATTTTAGACCACCAGAAGAAGTGAAGCGTTTCTTGCATTGTTTGCACTGAAATGGCTTCAGTCTTGTATGTGTACGCATGTGCTTTTTTAGACCACCAGACTGAGTGAAGCTTTTCTTGCATTGTTTACACTGAAATGGCTTCAGCCCTGTATGTGTAAGCATGTGCTGTTTTAGAAGGCACGACTGAGTGAAATACTTCTCACATTGCGTGCACTGAAACCCTTTTTCCATGGACTGCACACATTCAGGTTCTCTGTTGATTTTGTCAACACCTCTACTGGTATCTGTCTTCGATGGCATAATGCAATCTGTATTTACTTCCATTATTAGGTTCTATAAGTATAGCTGAGTGTACGAATTAGAATGCAGTATGAATGTAATCTTAAATGTACTACATTGTATTCCAGGGCTTCATTGTGTGAAGTGTTCTTCATCTATATCTTGGCAGCAAGTTCAGTTTTCACCTACAAAATAACAGAATGAAACAATATAACAAAATATATTTGGAGTGCAACATCATTTTATGATGGATATCTAACTGCAGTTTACCATGTATTTATGTGCTTCTATAGAGCCTAGCCTTAACCTATCAAAATATTATTAACTGGCAATGTAGAATATTAGCTGACAAGAATGATTCCAGCATAATAAGCGGGTCTAGCTCGAATGCTAGTTTATCCTAGGTTCTGTAGAGACACTTAGAAAAGTGTAATGTATGTAAATAAAAATACGGTGTGATAACAATGCAGCCTGTCTAGCTATAATACAAGATTTGTATGTGTCTCTACAGAGTTTATCAACATAGCTACATGTAAATACTATTTAGAGATAACGTATCAATGTATAAGTATTATGTGATCACAAAGCACCATATCTAGCTAATTTTCTGTGTGTCTCAGAGTCCACGAAAATAGCTTCATGTGATACAATAAAAAATAAAAATAAAAGTAAGGTGTGATATCAGAGCAGCCTACATAGCTAGAATGCTAGTTATCAAAGTGTCTTTTTAGAGGCTGAAATATTACCTACACTTGGATGTATTAAATGTATTAAAATAAAAGTATGGTATGATGTGATATCATATCAGCCTACATAGCTAGAATTAGGCAGAGTGTTTCAACCCACCTGTTCACATAGTTCATACCCACCATAGACTCAGGTCAGTCAAAATTATCTGTGACTCAGCCATCGACAGAGAGAGAATTACAGGTCAGGGAAGCCCCATGACCTCATAGATTTTCTTCCACAGAAGGAACCTGAAGTATATGGTAGGGTAAAAACTATGTGAATAGGCGGGTTGAAAACCCTATGCCTAAATTCACTACATTCAATTACCCACCGCAGACTCCAGTCAGTGAAAATGACTATTTGAAACTGTAGAAACAGTAAAGGATGTCCCAGTCTGGGACAAACCCAGATGCGTAGGTGACTAGCATTCCAAAGAAAAAAGAGGCCGACACAGTTCTGCATGAGGGCATAGGCCGAAAACGAGATCATGACATGTCCAAGGTTTGCAGACGGGAGAAACTTCTCTGCACAAATCTATAGGAGAGACTACTCTTTCATCTATGCACAGTGAACTCTGTGGTCATCTGGGCCGGGTCAGTAACCATAGTATTACCCACTATTGAACC